AAAGCATTGGTGTAGCTAAAGTTTGACAACACTTATATTTTGTTACTTATCATGTATGTATACACAAAAATTAAAAACCAACATCACTAAAATAGGAAAACAATTCCCGAATTATTTCATTTTTGAAAATTTTATCCATGGTATGTATCTCTTTAAACATATTTTCTCAACCTAATGAAGTACACAGAGCCAACAACGCCTCTACTGATACTCAACCTCCCACATGAGAGAGGTCACTACATGCCATCTGAGCACAAAGTGCTCAACCCCTCAATGGTCGATTATGTTGCACTTTAATTAAAGTCACGTCACTATCAAATAAGTTCAAACAGGAAATCGGCGCCAAAATTGGTTTATGGCTCGAAATATCCATTATTAAAGATCATGGTGCAGCATGAATAATCAGGAATGATTCATGGTGCGGGATGACACTTTAGCCTTTATATTATTAAATTTTTAATGTTTTATAGCTTAAGAATCGAACCCCAACCTCTATGTTAACAACTAAGACTATTTTTAACCAATCACATTAAACTTTTTGAACAAATACCATGTATCTTTAAACCAACCACCGCTTGCCACACCTGATCGACGAGAAGTTGTATGTCCGACTACCAAGTACATCACCTCCTCCGATAAGGAGGAGATGAGCATTGAGAGGATCTCCTGATCCTGTTGAACCCACGCAACAAAGGAAGGATTGGGAGTAGGAACCGTCGAAGCTTCATCGTTAGCAGCATGCATTGGCGAAGGACATGGCAGAGTATCATCCACGTAACACAACAATTTTGACCGTGAAGGAAGGGAATGAGTTGCGTCCTCCGAAACATGTAATGTAATTGCGGTTGGTGAGTTTGATGGAGACGAAATGATGCGCAGAGGATAGAGAATTGGAAGCCATGGTAGCAGCGGGTGATGGTGAGCTAGCAGTAACAGTCCTTTCCAATGACACCGTACTGTTGTTTGTACCGAGAACGAAGGAAGCCATGAAGAAACCTAACGCTAAACTGATACAAGATGAGATTAGATAAACTTGGAATTGTATTTACTGAACATCACAAATGTAACTGTACAACCAATACTAAATAATACACAGGAACCCGTATGGGCAGCTCACCTGGTCATAGAGGTGAAAATTTAAAAGAATGACTAGGGATCGAGTCTCACCAGCGGCAGTGTGGGAGCCAGGGCCGTTCCTAAGAATATTGGGGTCCTGTGCGAAAATTTAACATAGGTCCCTTTATGTATAATTGTAAACTAGTAAATTACCCGTGCGATACATGGATAATTTTTTTAGGCTAAAGAGTCATCCCGCACCCTGAACTATATTGTTCATGCCGCACCCTGAACTTTCATAACGTATATTTAGATCCACAAACTATTATTTTTTTCACCTAGGACTTTTTAAAGGTTACCTACAAGTTGCAGGTAATAATATGCTGACATGGACTTTTTTTTTTTTTTTTTCTCTTTTAGCACCTTGGTCATTCTCTACACCTCTGCGCTTGGACATTCACTTCCCCAGCATTTTCAATGAAGAAAACGATCAAGCTCCATCTTTTTCAGTTTAAAAAATAACCAATTAAGTGGCCGTGGCTAGAGGGAGAAACACCGGTGGCAACAAATGAAATTTCTTTATGATCAACTCATCGGTGGTTGCCGCCCTGTCTCTTGCAAGCACCGAGGTAATATATATTACATTTCATGTCCCTCTCATCTCTTCCATTCCTCCATCATATATATATATATATATGTGTGTGTGTGTGTGTGTGTGTGTGTGTGTGTGTGTGTGTGTGTGTGTGTGTGTGTGTGTGTGTGTGTGGGGGGGGGGGGGAGGGGTTTAACCTTTTCATTTTCATAAATATTATATTATATTTGAAAAATCAAAATTTTCGAAACAGTTCTCGACCGTTCACTCACTCTCCACTTTCCATACTTTATGCAGAGTCAGTAAATGAGCTTCTGCTTGCCTAGCTCTCAGCTCGCCTTAATTCCGTTCCGGTGATGTAAGAACCGGACTTTCGAAGACCGCCGCGGATGGAGGCCCCGCTGGTTCAACGTTCGGAGCAACTTATTCGCTTCACCTTCACCCTTCAACTTAATATATATACACTTGTGATGGGTGTGTAGTATATAATGGTATTGCTGTAAGTGAAATTTTGTTCTCTGAATATGAATCCACTCTTACATATGCTTGTTTCAAACTACATTTCTTATTCATACCCAATATATATATATATATATATATATATATATATATATATATATATATATATATATATATATATATATATATATATATATATATATTATCAGTTTCTCAGCCTCTCAATCTTCTTGGAGCGAGGCAAGCTTCATCCTTAATACATTGACCTTTTGGCAATCAATATATGCGAAGAGCAGGGGTACTCTCTGAGTAGCGAAGAGAAGAGGAAGGAGAGAAATTAAATATTCATCTGCTAGGCGTGGTTGGGCTGGCGACAGAGTTGGGAGCAGCGGCGCCGCTATAAACATAAATAGTAGTACATGTGGATGCCTTGGATTTTTTTTTTTAATAGAAACAATAATGCAATTAAGGGCCATGCATAAAAATCCATTCATAAGCAAAAAACTAAGAAACTGAGAAAGAGGAGTGATATAGGACTTCTGATTTTAGTTATTTATAATAAAATTTGTTGTTGATTTAAAAAAGAATATCCACATAAGCTAATAACCTTTGCCATGTCATCATAGTAACCTAGAAACCTTTAAAAAGTTATAGGTGAAATAAAAATAATAGTTTGTGGATCTAAATATACGTTATGAAAGTTCAGGGTGCGGCATGAACAATCTGATGTAGTTCATGGTGCCGGATGACACTTTAGCTATTTTTTATTATATATTTAAATAATAAAATTAATGATGAAATTATAAACAATTCTAATATTTGAAAGTATATATTTATTTGAAATTATAAGATTTGTATATTAGTATTGAAATTGATTACTTAAAAATTATAGGGAAAATGGTCAAATAGGCCCTCGAATTTTAGCTTAAAAGTCAATTAGGCTCCTAAACTTTTTAAAGGTGCAATTACACACATCAACAATTCATTTAAGTGCAATGAAGCCCAAAAACAAATTAATGACCTGCTATCACAGGTCATTAGGGTTCAGGCCACCTTCCGGCGAATTTTCCGACAAAAAAAAAAAAAGTGACCGGCGAAATTTTCAACAAATCTGGATCGATTTTTGGTCACAATTTTTTTGTCGGAAAAAAAAAAAGGAATATGAGTAATTTTTACTCTTTATATATAATAATTTTTACAATATTCAAATAGGCCCACCTCAATTACTTAAGTTATAGGACAATAACTCTATACATAAATCAAGTCATTAGGAATTAAAAATGTAAACTTTGTAAAATTTTAGACCGTCTTAATTTCTTTATACATGAGTTATACCAACACTAATAATTTAATATATAAAACATAAATATATACTATTTTTTTTTTTATAGAAGTACCGCCAAAATTTGGGGGCACATACAACAACCAAACTATGAAATGTGTGTACTAAGTACTAACTCCGTAATATATCTTTTAGATGACTTGGGGCCCCCAAAATTTGGGGGCCCTGTGCGTATGCCCTGGCCAAACATGGCCAGGGACGGTACTGGTGGGAGCAACCTCTCAAAGTGAGAGGGGCTCCCAACCTCTCAAAGTGAGGGGGGTTCTTTGTGCGTAGTGAGCAAATGTCTAGCCTCTGTGGTTTGATTTACATCCTCTCAAATGTTCTATCGAGTTAGAATTGAATCTTTTGGAAGAATAATACACAAGAATATGAGACATACTAAGAATATAATTCTAGAATCCTAATAGAGGTAAGAGTAGAGTTTAAAATGCATTTGCATTAATTTAATTCTTTTTTGGGGCTCACAAAAAAAATTTAAAAAGAACTTCTTCCTTGTGTGCACGTTAGGCGCGCACCATGCGCCGTTAATAACCATTTTTTCCTTGTTCCTTTTTCCTCTGACATCAGCTTTTTTATTTTTTATTTTTATTATTATTATTTTTTTTTTTTTACTCTCATTCTCTCCCCTTTCCATCCATATGGCCCGACAAAAACCATGAATTTTTTTTGTCGTTTAAGGATGTTCTAATATGTTGGTAAAATTAGCTTTTTAACTTATTATTATTATTATTATTAGGAAAAATAGTTGATGCACCGTCAGTATATGGATGCTATACACTAACGGTGAATGACAAAATATTACCTTATTTAAAAAGAAAATCAACATTAACCAAGTCCTTGTTTGCAAAATTTATATTCTTTTCTAAATTATTATATTTTTAACAAAATAAAAATACTTGATTTGAGGTCAAGCATTCATGATTTTGGTTTCAATTCACCTCTGTATATAATAATTTAGAAAGTAATATAAATTTTACAAACAAGGACTTGGTTAATGTTGATTTTATTTTAAATGAGGTAGCGTCTTTTCATTCACCGCCAGTGTATAGCATTTATACATCGGTGGTGCATCAAATATTTATCCTTATTATTATTGTTAAAACTTGTAGTCAACTAGCTTAAGTTGTTCATGGTTGATTAACTCAAACCAAAAAAAGAACTTGGAACTTTTTCGTTACCAAGTCAACAGCTTGACCAATTTGGTTGAAATTGTCGCAGCTTGAACCTTTTTGATAAGTGGTGACTAGAAGTGTTGAAATCAATTTTCAACATTAAAGATAGTGAACAATAGACTTCATAGTTAAATTATATGATGTGATGACTAATTATATTCCCAAATTACCAAAAGGATAACTTTTGAAAGTGGTTTTAACAGAAAAGTATAGATGGTTTTCAAAATATAAAATTGTGTTAGAGACAATTGTATGATAAAATTGTTTTACAGTGTCAAAGCAAATGTACTTGAGAATTACATCCCACTATAAAGCACATATTCATTCATTCTAATTCAAGTATTGCTCTCAACTCTCACAATTATCATATACAATCAAAATCCAAGAAAAGTCATTTTATACAGAAAGGAAAAAAACCCAAGTCTAGGAACAGTGAAGACACACACTCATAGGGACATTTCCTTGTATACTCTCTTCTATTCACAAATAGAAAGAATCAAATCCTATACTTACACTCTGTCCAGTATGCACATTGATTGAAAAATGACAAAGCATTCATCAAAATCTTGGACTGTCTGGAGTTATATCCTGGAAGACTTGCAGTCTGTTCCTTCGCTTTAGTAGCCTAAGAGGAGTTTGGATGGCTAAGTCCCCCCCTTCAGGTTGAGTATAGTATCCACCATTGAGATCTAATGTTTCAAGACTTTGGCTTATATTCTCTGCCAGATTCTTTAGACTAGGGGTCTTTCGAATTACATTGCAGTCAGCATTTTCGTCATTGAGCTCCTCCAAGTCCTCTTGACTGTTAGAGGACTTGTTGCTTTGAGTTTCGTAAGATTGCATGTCATCTTCTTCTTCAACCATATCAGCCCAACTCTTCTTACTTTGTTGTTTCTCGTTATTGCCAGATTTCTCACTTCCTATGAGATTGAGATGTTCAGAATTCTGGGAAAAATCAACAGTTGATGATTCTTCTTCCAAGGCAAAACTAATCGACTCTTGATGATTTTGCAACGAGTAGTAGTCTCTTCTCCATTTCTCGTTGTGAATCATCTTTGGCAATGTAGATTGAGGTTTCATAACATTGCAGTTTTTCCAGTGACCCAAATCAGATCTCAGCAGCTTCTCATTACTAGAAGATGGTGGTAGAAAGATGCATGTACTATTACTATTGCTTTCAAATGACAATTTTCTGCTAGTTCTTGACCACCCTCCTCCTCCTTTCTTCTGATTGAATGATGACCATGAAGCAGCACATCTTCTTGGTTGCGTAAAGGCTCCTCCCGGGGATTCCAGATGTCCACCGCCATATTTTCTCCAGCAAGAAACAGAAGAATCTCTCTTCAATTCAACATCTAACGTACTAGTGGAGGATGTTCTTCCTTTACAAATCTCTCCTCCCGGCACCATAATCTGTGACTCAAATTCAGAAACCATTTCCATGGCTCGTTCTAGGGACTTGTGACACGAGTCATCCATCTCCTTATAATCAGATGAAGCCCTTATGGATTGAAGCAGAAACTTCGCCTCAGCAATCTTATTCATGTGCATCAAGCAGATTGCAAGATTGCACTGCTTGTTCTTATCTGGCTCAAGGGAAAGAGCTTTTCTGCAACAAAATATAAAACCCAAACTTTTTTAGCAATGCCACTAAAGTTTTGCAAGAATGGAGTCAATTCTACATACCTGTAATTCTCTTCAGCAGATTTATAATTCTTCAAATGCATGTGTGCCCAGGCCAAGTTACCTAGCAATCTGAATTTTGATTGAAACTCAGTTGAAGTGAAAAGCAGAAAACTAACTTGAAAATTGAAATTAAGCCAAAGCAGATAGATATATACCTTGAGTACTCTTTCTCAAGTGTGATTTCAACCTTTTTGCCCTGAGATCTAGCAGTCTTAGTCTTCTTCCCACCAAAAGCTATGCCCTCTTCAATGTTCTTAAGTTTATGTTCAATCATTTCGATTTCCTCTTCGATTCTACCGGATCTCTGAAACAATATGACCCCCCCAATGAGGCAAGAACACCAAAATGAAACCATAATTATATTCAAATTTCAGAATTATTAGCTTACCTTGTAGAGTTCAATCAATATATTGTCAATGGATTCCTGTGACTCTATAGGGCTAAGATGGCGAAAAGACTTGATTGCTTCAATGGCTTCATCTGAACGGTTCAGCTGTTTCATCACAATAGCCATGTCCTTAAGAGCACTATCAACTCGATCACCAGAATTTATAGCTGCCCAGAACAAAGAAACTGCCCGGCTTGGATCCTTCTCGATTAACTGCCCATCATATTCTTGATTTCATTAAGTATATAATACTGAAATATTCCAAACCCATTTTGAAGGAATCAAGAAAGAATTGAATAATACACAGAATTCTGGAATTTAAAGAATTTATCAAACTCGATCAAGAACACTGACCTGAACATGTTTAGCCCGGACATAGGGAGAATCTCCGGCGGGTACTTTGTGAATGACGTGAAAGAGATCCTGGTTGCCGGCGCTGTGAGGACGAGGCGGCTTACACTGAGAGGCCGGCACCAGCGAACCACTCAACTTGAGCGGCTGCGGCGTAAAGAAACCCCTTGGATTCTCGTTAGCCAACATCTCTAGTCCTCGCCGGATTCTCTAATCTCTAATCTCTAATCCCTAATCCAAAGAGAGAGTAATTACTGAATTCTTGGAGAAGAATCTTGAGACCCTTTTGAATGGGTAGGCTAAAAAGGCGTAGTGATTGCAAAATCACTGTTGAAGAAACATAGAAATGTGGGCATCGCTGTTTCGAAAGTCGCCTTTTTTCTCTCGCCGGAAAATTTCAGAGGAGAGAAGAGAAAATTGGAGAAAACGAACTCAAAGGCAATAGCCGTTGTTTATGTATCCGTTGGACTTGGGAAAGAGCTTCACGAAGCGTTTGGACGCGTAGGTTAGACGCGCTTTCCTTTTGTTGTTACCTAAAATTTTAAAATTTTATATTCTAAATTTTTTAAAGGGAAAATGGCACTTTTTCCCCCTATGTTATATACTTATAGCACTTTTTCCCCCTCAATTATTTATGTAAGCACATTAGCCCCCTCAATTATTTTAAAAGTGGTGGTTTTCCCCCCTAATATATTAAATTGACATTTCTACCCTTAAAGTAAACATTTTATTTATTTTACTTCTCCAACAAATTATTGCGTATATGTAGCTATTACCACGGTTTGGTTCGAACTGAACCAGACACTATAGCAATCGAATTAAAAGTTTTCAGTTATGATTCAGATCTAGAACCCAATATTTGGATTTCAATTTATTAAATTTAAGAATAAAAAAAAAATTGGATCATGAACCGGCGGTTCCGGATCCCGTTCGCGATTTTGAACTGTCTATATTTAAAAATTTTATTTTTTATTTTAAAATAGTTTAAATTCAACAATAAATGTATTTTATTTTTCCAGTTCGGAACATGAACCGGCCATTCCAGTTCGCGATTTTAATAAACTCTAAATATCGCGTTTTGATTATAAATTGTAATTGGAATATTTTGGTTTGGTTACTATAGTATCTGGTTTGAACCAAATTATAGTAATAATTTATTGGAGAATAAAAATAAATGAAATATTTATTTTAAGGGTAAATATGTCCATTTAACATTTCAGGGGGAAAAAGAGCCACTTAAATAATTGAGGGGGAAAAAATGCTATAAGTATATAACATAGGGGGAAAAAGTGCCATTTTCCCTTTTTTAAATAATAATCCACTAATTCAATATCTTATGATTTTATTCATAATAAAATCAGTTAATTTATAATGGGCGATGTATGAATTTGCTTTTAATTTTCATAAATTAATTAATAGATATTAGTGTTTATTCCTTAGCTAGATAATGCATAAACAAAAACTATAAATAAAATCAATTAATTTATAATGGGCGATGAATTTAGTTTTGTTTTATCATGAATTGATAAGTAGATATTAGTGTTTATTCCTCAACTAAGACAATGCAAAAACAAAAAATAGAAATAAAACACAAAAACATAAGATACAAAACACAAAAGAAACATAAAAATATTAAAATAAATATAAATATAATTTTATAGTTATATTTTCTTTAGATATGTATATTAATTGTTTTTTAAGAAATGTATTTTTTGGTGATATTTTTAAATTAGAAAATGATCTTGAATTCTTAATCGTGTTATCAAAATGTGAAAAATTCATCCCGAAGAGTTTCTTCGGCAAGAAACAAATTCTCTCTTCAATTTATTAACAAAGGTAGGATGTAAAAAATATCCTTCATTCTCTTTGCTATCATATTCATATTGCTGCATTTTATCACTTTATACATCTAATGTAATAGATGTTTTTCCTCCCTTACAAATCCCCCCCCCCCCCCCTCCCCCACCACCACCACCACCACCACCACCACCACCACCATATATATGATTCACATTATTTTGAAAAGCATTCATCTATCTATAATCTGTTGGGAAAAATCCCACCACCGGTGACAAATAAAATCACAGGACCGACAAGAGCGCAAATACGAGATGGTGCAAAACAGCCAAAATAAATAACAGACACAAGGGACATAAGATTTACGTGGAAAACCCCAAAATCACGAGGAAAAACCACGGACCACCACCAACACAATATTCCACTATAACAAATCTTGGGTACAAAGTTGATGGCTACCACCCGAGCCAAACACCCTAAAAAAATCATCAAATACAACAACTAGGCCAAATACATTCTATCACGTTCACAGGCCTAAAAATGATACCAACTCGTACTCAAAATATTCAACCACCACGAACAAGGTGAAAAGAATACAAATATTACGAGCTTACCCAAAACGATGATGCCTGGAACAAACACTGACCTCTACAAATATTTGATGAAGAAAAGTACGCCAAAGATCTTCGGCAAACCTCACGACAAATCCATCAGACGTGCGACAAAACCTGCCGACACACGCCGCCGCCGTGCCACCAAAGAAGCTAGGCAAACCCACGACAAAGTAGCACAAAAAGAAGAAGAAATAGATGTTGCTCCTTCAACTGCTGCATACGGCCATGAAAAAGAGAAAGAAAGAAAAACTGAATTTTTCTTCCTTTTTGGCCTACTGCTTCTGCCGAAAAATACAAAAGGAATATGTGTAGTATGTAGAAGTGTCTGGTGTAGTGGTGAGGAAACAATGAATTCTCCCTCCTTTTATAGATGCAGGCAACCACCTTGGGAAAAAAGAAAGCTAATTAATTCCTCAACTTCCTCCCATAAACCTTAGGAAACCTCTTCCCATAATCCTTAGGAAACCTCTTTCCATAATCCTTAGGAAATCTCCTCCCATAAACCTTAGGAAACCTCTTCCCACGTTCCCTTAGGAAATCTCTTCCCAAGTTCATCCCAAGCAAACTTCTGCCCAACAACTTCATCCCAACATCCACTCTTTAACTTCTACCCAATAACCCATTCTCCAACCCAAATAATTGTCAGCAAACTTTTCCATCAAACTAACAAATATTGCAGTGGAATAGGCTTGGTCCCAAATGAGCTATTTACCACATAGGAGGGAAGCCCCAACCCAACATAATCCAATGAAACTCTTATGGACTGAAGTAGAACCTTAGCCTCATCAATCTTATGCATGTGCATAAAGTATATTGCAAGATTACAATGCTTACTCAAGTGTCTAAAGGGAAAGAACTTTTTTTGCAACAATATAATAACAGTTTATGTATGAATGTTTATTCTAAATTGTAATTTGTAACATAATTTCACTTTGCACTAAATTTTTCAAAGTAGCTAGGGAGTCAATGGTATGTAAACAACATATCTCAAACTCTATTCAATTAATTTAAATTTCTTGCTTTCAAAAAAAAAAAAATTTAAATTTCTTCAGTTGTATGTGACAAATCTATGATGAAACTACCTCTTCGAGTTTGTCTTGTTGAACCAGCCTTCTCAACCTAGAACTCAGTTGCCATATGAAATTTGTTGGCACTTCATGTTTTTGGAGTATTTTACAAATAACAACAACAATAATAAAATAACAATCAAGAGTAAAGAAATGCAAGGTCAACTCAAGAGTTAGAATAAGTTAATTAAGGATTTTAATTTTTAAAATAAAAGTATTCTGAACAAAAACAAATTCCTTTCCTTTCATTCATTCTTACTCTAAACACAAAGAGTAAAAGGGTTATAACATGCTTGACTTACAAATGTCACAAGATGGGTGACCCACTGGGAAGTAAGCAGTGCAGCGCTAAGATCCATCAATTGGTATTAGAGCCCAGATCACGGGTTCGAATCGATGGTGAGGCAAAAGTCGAGTCTAGTCCTAGATGAGATGTGGACATAGGTCGAGCCAAGTCCAGTTCTGGGGGGGGGGGGGGGGGGAGGGGGATTAGTGAGTGCGTAGGCTAAGGACCGAGTCAAGCATGCTTCTGGGCTTTGTGATCAAAGATTGCGGCAGGTGCTGGGAGGGGGATTGTTGGGCGTCGGTCGGGTTGGCCGAGTTCATCCCCTGCTCGATTCGAGACGTGGCGTTGTGGCTTACCATGGAGGGATGTGGTTAAATGGTTAATGTCTACCTAATTATCACCAACTAGTTTTAAGTAGGATATGACAACCACATAGTCAAAGAACTCTATGGTTAAGCGTGCTTATCTTACGGCAGTCACAGGATGAGTGACCCACTAGGAAGTAAGCATAGTGCAGCGCTCTATTAAGGATACTTCTCCTTTTCCGTTTCAAATGATGGTTTCTGACATTAGTCCCTTGAGTTTCCTTTTTGGAATGACATTTTTCACCCTTCTCTTAGGTAAGGGTTCAACTTCAGGGACTGGTTATTTGACTTTCTTTTTAATAGTAGTATCTGCTTGCATACCAATTGGATTGTCAGAGCACACAAAATTACTTATGTTGTTTTAAGGTAGTTTCCACAGACTTTGTTCCACCAATCTTTGTATTCATGATAAACATGCTTCTTCATTATAACTCGGGTTGCAGGAACTGTTGCCTATGGTCTTGAGCCCTTACGTGTAAATTGGAACCAGAATCAAAAGTCGTCTACAATTGGGACTTGACGTTTGTCCTCGCCCGAAAGGCTAGCGTTGCCATCTTGATAATATCTAAATTGTCAACTAAACCGATGGGGAGGGTAAGGCTTAACAATGCAAGAATCAACCATCGTAATATGAGGAATTTAGAATGAATAGACATAAATTATTCATGGTTGTGGCATTCCCAAAATAAAAAAGGTTCAAGTCTTTATTTTCGTAACGTGTTGTGTAAATCTAGTTAGCTAGGAAGATTTTGTGATAGGCTTCTTGTAACACCCCACTTTTCTTAAATCTTATTAACAGACTTAACCTTGAAAGATAAGTTAAGGCAGCGGAAAAAACTTACTAAACAAATTAATAGAGGTGTCACCGCCACAATCACCCTTCACGGTGATTGCACATGCAAAGGGTAAACAAACTAAATCATTCAAGCTCTACTAACATCAATCAAACTAGGGGTTAAAACCCCAGTGTCCAGCACCATCAAAAACTCAATGGAAAGTTAACTACAAGTCTCAAAAACAAACATCACGAGTTTAGACTACAACTAGCTAACTATGCTAATCTAGTCTAACTCGTTCTCTCTCACGAACTGGGTCCACCTGAAAGGGGTTAAAAAACAACAAGTAGAAAACAAACCCGTTAGCACTGTGAGTATTATTATTATTATTATTATTATTATTATTATTATTATTATTATTATTATTATTATTATTATTATTATTATTATTATTATTATTATTATTGTTGTTGTTGTTGTTGTTGTTGTTGTTGTTGTTATTATATAGTTAGTGAGTGTGTGGTGTTAGAATAAGTCTAGGTTAGTATCCTATTAGTTAGGAGTGGTTACAGGCATAGTCTCATATACACTCTTGTAATCTGGTTGGTTGTAACTGAATAGATTTTGAATTCTCTCATCTAGTATCAGCCTATCGATCAATCCTCTCTCTACTCTCACCGCAAAACCTCCCTTCCCCATCGGTAAACACCCCTCTCTCACCGTTAACCTCCCCATGTCGTCCAACTCGTCGGAACGCACGCTCTCCGCCGCCGGTGGTCATTTTGCGTTCGTCAGTTCCCGTGCTACGCCGGCGGTTTGGCATCGCAGGCTCGGTCATCTACACAGTCTAGTCTAGAATAAAATTCTGCAACATTGCTCGGTCACTCAAAATAACACTAGTTTGGGGTCATGTACGGCTTGCCACCTTGGCAAGTTTTCTCGTTTTAAATTAGATAGAGTAAACAATTCTAGCCAAAATGTACTAGACCTATTGTATACGGATATCTGGGGGCCTGCTCCAGTGATATCCTCTAGTGGGTTTCGTTACTTTCTTTTATTTGTTGACGACTACTCCCGGTTTTGCTGGTTTTATCCATTAAGGGTAAAATCAGACATCTATAAAAATTTTGATGTGTTTCGTGTGTTGGTTGAGCGGCAATTCTCGCGCTCTATCAAGTCTATACAGTCAGATTTAGGGGGTGAATACCGCAAATTACATACCGCGTTTCAGTCTCTTGGTATCAATCACCGTCAATCTTGTGCTTACATGCACGAACAAAACGAAAGAGTTGAGCGCCGTAACAGATATATTGTTGAAACGGGCTTAGCTCTTCTTGCTCAAGGGTCTATCCCACAACAATATTGGGACTATGCGTTTGAAACTGCTACGTGTCTAATAAATTATCTCCCATCCTCAGCCTTAAACTTTGAAAGTCCATACTTCCGACTCTATAAAAGGTTACCACCTTATCAATTCTTACGAGTTTTCGGGTGTCAATGTTATCCCTATCTAAGGCCGTACAATCGGTATAAGATAGAGTACCGTTCCACTCCCTGTGTCTTCCTAGGTTACCCGTCATCCTTTAGGGGATATAGATGCGTGGACCCAACCAGTGGGAAAACTTATATCTGTCGTCATGTGCGGTTTGACGAATCTGTCTATCCCTTTGCCACAGGTACACCACAGCAGGTTGTTCAATCTCAGACCGTGTCGTGGGCGGCAGGTCCCATAGTGCCGGTCCACACTCCGTCACTGGGGTATACTCCGGCTCCTTTACCACATGACTCTGACCCTGTGGCATTAGCTCAGGAGGCCCCTCACTTAGCCATTGAGTCTTTTGCCCCACCACCTCAGGGTTGGGGACTGGGTCGGGCGCAACCCCAGGACCGGGGGCATGTCATGCGGCTTCGCCACATGACTCAAGGCACTAATGAAGAGTTCCACGCCCTAACTGCAACGACAACCGATCCAATGTGCTATTCTCAAGCAGTTGGACATCCGCACTGGCGGGATGCTATGCACCAGGAGTTTAATGCCCTACTCCATAACAACACCTGGCGCCTAGTTCCACTGGATCCTACCATAAATATCATCGGGTGCAAATGGGTGTTTCGCACCAAACGCACTGCAGATGGCTCCGTGGAACGTCACAAAGCCCGTCTCGTTGCTAAGGGGTTTAATCAGGTGGCCGGAGAAAACTTCTTTGACACTTTTAGCCCGATGGTCAAACCTACCACGGTCCGCATACTTTTTTCGTTGGCAATCACCAACAAGTGGACTTTACGTCAGTTGGATGTCCATAATGCCTTCCTCAACGGGCACTTAGCATAAACAGTCTACATGAAACAGCCACTCGGGTATGAAGATCTGGCCCATCCTGACCACGTTTGTCTCTTGCAACGGTCGCTCTATGGCCTTAAACAAGCTCCGAGGGAATGGTTCAAGCGGCTTCACGACTTCTTATTGTCTGCCGGTTTTTCCTCGTCAAAAACAGATGTCTCTCTGTTTTACTACATCTCCATTGGGTCTCAGGTATTCCTACTAGTCTATGTTGATGACATCATCATGATGGGCATCGACGCCGCCCTTGTCAGCACTTTACTTGGTTGCCTTGCTTCTGCCCCTTCAAAATCCGTGATCTTGGTAAACTAAGTTTTTTCTTAGGCATTGAAACTGTTGAGACTAATGATGGTATGGTCTTGTCTCAGCGTCGCTACATGACTGACTTGTTGAATAGGGCTGGAATGGTTGATTGCAAGTCCCTCGCTACACCTGCTTTGGTCTCTCAGTCGGTGACTCCGTCCGATAAGCCTTTTGAGAATCCTACTCAGTATCGCCGTATTGTTGGTGCGTTGCAGTATCTTACTATTACTCGTCCTGATCTGTCATATGTCGTCAATCTCTTGTGCCAGTTTATGCATTCTCCGTCTACTGATCACTGGGCCATGGTCAAACATGTGTTGCGGTATATCAAAGGCACTCTGGACTATGGGTTATGCCTCCGGCCTTCTCCTACTGCTGACATTCATGCCTATTCTGACTCCAACTGGGCTGGGTGTCCGATTGACAGGAAGAGCACCAGTGGTTATGCTATTTTCCTAGGGTCTAATCTCATCTCGTGGCTCTCTCGAAAATACCGTACTGTGGCTCGCTCCTCTACTGAAGCCGAATATAAGGCCCTGGCCGATGTTGCTGCTGAAGTTACTTGGGTTGTCTCTCTGTTACGCGAGCTGGGGTTACATGCCATAAGGCAAAAGTTTCCTGTTTCTTGTCTTGAAATATGACATGTGCTTGAGTATTAAAGATGGCAAATTTATCTCATGCGCAAATCTCAAAAAGAAAGCAATAGTACAAGTCCAACTGCCAATCTCATTGGAATTCTTCCTATACGGGAACAAACACTCTTCTATCAATAAAACCAACTACTTTTTCTCACTACTCAAGGTGGATTTCTCGGGCCTGTACTCCTTAGGGAACTCCTCCCTACTACCAGTCATGTACCTCGAGTACTCAAGATATGTCACCCTGTCGTGCGAAATTCAATCATCCCTATTATATGTGTCTACCCCGCTCAACGGTAAATCAAACCAATTAGACAACTACTGTGGTGTCAATTCTATTTTAGTACCTCTCACATTAGAGGTAATCATAGTGACTCCTTTCTTGTGCTTGGTAGACAAATTCTCATAGAATTCAATAACTAAATCCGGGTAAATTTCTCCCTGAATCTTTAAAAATTTCCTCAATATCCCTCGACTTTCTAACATTCGATTAAAACCTTCAGAAAAGTGTTCGGGAAAGTAGGTTTTACCTCCAATAATTGTGTAGTTAGGACCTTCAAGGCTAGTTTCCTCTACTTATTTCTTTCATTTTGCCATGGCAATCCAAAGCTTTTTGACTTGATCTTGGTTGGATTGGAGTAGATGACTCAGATAGGATTTTTCTTGTGCTTAGGATAGGTTGTAGGGTGCCACCTTGAACTTTCTTGGAGTGGATATGGTGTTTTGAAGGAGATGGATTTTGCTTGGGGTTGAGGCAGTAAGCTACGCCAAAGAGGAGAGGAAGAAGATGATTTCAACACAATCTGCTTGGGAGAGAATCTGATAGAGGGCTAAAGGTTTGGCGGGGCTTGGCATCGGCTCTCATTGGGCTCCAGTTCGAAGGCCCGATGTCAGCGCTCGCTGACACGGCCTCAGGTCACGGACCATTACGTGGTCCGTGACCATGTCCCATGCAACGGAACGGGGTCTGTCCCCTTCCGTAGGCTAGACCCGTCCGGGTCGGGTAATCGGGTTTGACCCGATTCAGCTCCAATTGCAATCGATCCTCCGACTTTGTTCAATCTTCAATTAGGGTCAAAATCGGGCGTAGTCCTTGACTTTACCAAATCCCGAATCTTAGTCAATCCTTTGACTTTTAAATTCCTTTTCGAAATTGCTTGTTCCAACTTAAACTTGAATTAGATTCTCGTCTAATTCTTTTCTCATCGTTTCTTACTCTTTCTGATCTCGTTTCTACTTCAACTTCGGGAATCAACTCTTCTAGCTAAAATTTAATTGTTTCTTAACGGTTTTACCCTTACTTACACCTAATTGTTCTCCCAAGCTTTTACTTATTTATTCTTGGCACTCTTTACCAAACTTTCGCAAAAGTATTTCTAATTAACTTCTTAATTCTCAAAATCTTAGTGTAACACCCCACTTTTCTAACTCTTAATTACATCACTAAACAGTCATTAACATAAACTAAGCAGCAGAAATCTAGATGATAAGTAGTGAGGGTGTCACCGCCACAACCACCACTCTTGGTGATTGCACAGGCTAAAAGGGGTAAAACTATAACATACGATTAAGTCTGGGTACTAAAGTAAATACTGAAAAGTAAGGGGGAAATACGTCACCCCAAAACAGTCTACAAACATCATCATAAAGTATAGGGTCATAAGTCTAAATCCATAAAGACATCATAAATAGAACTAGAGTTTAGACAACTCAAACTAAGAGACTAATCTAACTCGATCTTCTCTCACTCCTGGGCCCACCTGAAAGGGGTTTTGCAAGCAACACGTAGACGAACAGGAAAACACCCGTTAGCACGAAGCTAAGTATAACCACACTCAACCCTGTAAAGCATTCTAGCATGTACTTGGAAAACATTTGATATCATTATATCAATAAATTAATCTCAAATCATTTTTAGATTATTGTATTCTTTCTAGATGCTTGCACCCTATAATAACAACTGACATGCTTATATGTGTATAAGACTAATCACGTATATTCATCAACATGTAGACTTCTCAAATAACTTATCAAGTAATTCATGCTTACAGATAGGATCATTTTAAAGATGATATAACAGGTGTTCACATGCGATCACACTCTTATCACATAACTTATTAAGTAGAACTTCTACTACATCAAAATAATCGTGCTCAAGATAATATCTCCAGTTAGTTTTCTCATTAAACAATCTTTTACGATACTCTATTCGCATACAATCATGTATAACATTATGATCATGCTTCTCACGCAATCTAGTGCAACAATATAGTCATACTCTTATGCAATCTAGTGCAACAATATACTCATGCTCTTATGCAATCTCGTGCAACAATATACTCATGCTCTTATGCAATCTCGTGCAACAATATACTCATGCTCTTATGCAATCTAGCGCAACAATATAATCATACTCTTATGCAATCTAGTACAACAATATACTCATATTCTTATGCAATCTCATGCAACAATATACTCATATTCTTATGCAATCTAGTGCAACAATATAATCATACACTCATATATAAAATAGAGTACTTTCTATGGAGGTTTCTTTGTTACTTTCTCGAGTCTCTCTTGACTCTCTTTCTTTCTATCGAGTCTATATTGACTCTCATACTTGAGTCTCTATTGACTCTATTTCTTGAGTCTCTGTTGACTCTCTTTCTTTCTATCGAGTCTATATTGACTCTCTTTCTTTCTATCGAGTCTATATTGACTCTCATACTTGAGTCTCTGTTGACTCTATTTCTTGAGTCTCTGTTGACTCTCTTTCTTTCTCTTATACTCGTAGACGGCTTAGGGTCTCACAGAAGTGTGACTTACCCCATCGGGAACGGCATAATTCCGACCCAATATCTCCTACCGTCTACGGAACCAATCTTGTGGTTCAAACTCTTTGGAATCAGGTATCGAACTATTAGTGTGCACACCCCCTAACCAGGATTCCAAGCCCGGCGGGAAGTTTCCAACCTCGTAACGTGGAATACATCGCGTTACATACTCTGGGACCGCAATGTCCATAAATATCTCCCAAGAGGAAGATAGTCCAAACGGTATCCTCCAAAACCTCACCGATATAAATATTACATAAATATATCTCTCATGCATCAATCTCATGCATGCAACAATTCTACTACTTCTCAATGCATCAAAGAATGATATACCACATGCGTATGGTTTTTGAAAGTATTCTTGGACTCACGTTGGCCCTTTATGCATTTTTGAAATATGACTCATGTGAAATGTCAAATGTTCTATAACATGCTTCTAAATCATGTATACATTAACATGAATTATTCAAGGATATATCATCATGCTCAATTTGTAAAAATAGCAATTTCTACAAATAATACATTTTAATCATGCTTTCAAATAAATCTTATTCTCAAAAGATCATGCTTCTTTACTCAATCAGAACATTATTTGATCACAAAATCATCAATTTCTCAAACACAGAGAACTTAGCAAAATATACTTTATGAAACATTTCTTCACAAAATCATTCATAGCATACTCGTTTTTAATCCAAATTCAACCAAATCAAAGCCAAGACGTGCGTCAAGACGATCCCGAAGAGCCGAGCCACAAGGGTCCATAACACTTGGTCCGAAACGACACGTAGCTAAGCCACAAGGGCCACAAGGGCCCGGCCACTGCACAACATCTCATCAGAACAATACTTAGGGACTTGGGGCGTGACTCTTCATGGTCCGCCCCTATAGACCCGTCACTACGCCGAGGCTAGGCTACGGCCCTCTTCTAGGGTCGTGCCCTAGTCTCGTGGTGGCACGGCTCTAGCCGACGGCCTTTCTGATGGGCCGCTTCTAGGGCCGCCACTCTGGTCTGGTACACATTGTGTTGTGCACCAGATAGCTTTTCACCTGCAAAAACTTATCCAAACATGTCCAAAACAATCTCAACAACTCATAAACACATACCAAAGCATTTCTAAGCATGAACACATCAAAAGCTCATAATTTCTACTCATTTCTACTCAAAACTAGGCTTCACATAGCCAAATCTAAAGAGGAATCCATGGGGTTATACCTCTTGTAGACTAGATTTCTTGCTTGGATCTCTTCTTCCTCTTGGTCTAGCTTGAGCCTCCTTCACCACCTACACTTCCCAACACACCTTCTATCCTTAGCCTATATTCTTAAAGACTAAAGAAAACTAGAAGAGAAATGATGCTATAAAGGAGGATGAACAAGCTTACAAGGTTGAAGCTTTTCTCCTTGGATGTTGACAGACAAATGTGAGGAAGGGGCAATGAAAATGAGATCAGAAAAATGTAATGGAATGAAGGGTTTATATAGGGTTCAAAACCCTAGGATGATACACAATGATTGGTTGAGGGCAAATGGGTAATTTCCCCAAGCTAAAACATGACTTTATAAGGGATTTTTGGATGTCTTGTGGTCCACCATGCATCATGAACCATAGACTAAAAATGATATTTCTTTATTACTTTGGGGTGGAAAGTGAATTTTCCCAAAAGCTAAATAGATGAACACTTGTTTAAAATCCCCTTTTTAATTCTCCCGGTCTCACTCAGGTAAAATTCTCAATTTAAATCTTGGTACGTAAAGTACCCAAAAATTTTGGAATTTTCGAATGAAATCCATTTCTTTGGTGTTGAATTAACTTAAAAATGGAACAAAATTATTTTATTCAAACACCGATTGCTCGCAAAATTTTTTAATGGGGTGAAAAAGCTACTTTGGGATTTCTTAACACTGAATTTATAAAATGAAATTTTGGGTTGTTACACTTAGTCAAATCACGACTTGTACCAAATTTTCTCAAGCACACACAATCCAATCAAATAATCATGCAAGAATTAACACACTCATTTCAAATTAGAGTGTTACATTTCTCAAGATTGTGACCGCCGGCCTGTGTTTGTCCCATGACCATGATCCTCCCTGGTCCAGCTCCTCCCGGACGTCCCTATGACATATGTTTTATATATGCATATGCTTATCTATTTAATTTAGAAC